AAAGAAAGAAAGAAAGAAAGAAAGAAAGAAAGAAAGAAAAGAAAGAAAGAAAGAAAGAAAGAAAGAAAGAAAGAAAGAAAGAATCATTTGTGTTCAGTTTGAGGGCTCCCCAAATGAATGATTTGTACTGTCTTTTTGGCTATTAAAATCCCATATCAAAATTAAAAAGTACAAAGATAAGCATACATAAACCAATTTTTTAAAAAAATGCCTCAGAGAGACCCAGTTGAGGTTTGTTAAGAGAAAAAGGCAGTACACTGTTACGTTTCTTGTAAAGACTGAAACTGATAGGATCAGTCTAATCGTGAGACTTCAGAATAATGTCAGTAACGAATTTTTTGTGAGATTCACTTTGCAGAGAGCTGGGATGTAGCTTGATGGATGATCAGTTTGAGAAAGTGAGCTCTGACTGTCGAAATGGAGAATTCAGTAAGGTCTGCGTGGCAAGAGCAAAAGTGATGTCCCGAAATGCTTTATGAAGGTATAAAGGCTATGACGCAATCGGAAAGCACTGGAGACTCTGCCAAGGGTAGGGGGAGAGGGCATGTTAGGCCAGTGGGGAGAGGCGCTTAGCTACCTGGTAATAATTATCTGCATCACTTCCCTCCCTGCCGTAAACATCAAATCCAAATAAAAGCAATATGCTTCCTAAGCCAACACTTCACAGCAAGTCCTCGGGCCGCCAGCGTGGCCAGACTGCTGCCCGCCCCAAGCCCTCCTTTACGCAGAGGCTGGTGTAACTGATGGGCTGAGTTTCTTAGCGCTTATGATCTTGAGCTCTGGCGTCTCCCGGGCCTTGTCAGAACCCCAGTTTTCCCCATTATAAACTAAGTGACCATGTCTAGAGCCTTAACACCCCTAAGTCTCTCTTTCTTTATTAATGAAAAGAGCTGCTTCATAAAGGTATGTCAAGAATTCAATGAGAAAAATAAACAGAGCCGTTAGGATAGTGCCTGTAATCATCATTCAGTAAGAACTGTTCAATAACAATTTTGCATTTTCATATTGGGTTCGAAATGTATAATTACATAAGATGTATTTAAGCCTGCATCACACTTGAGAACAGGAACAGGACTAAAATCTCGTGAAGATGATTGTTGCTATGCTGGGAAGCAGGCTGTGGATACTGGCAGCTGTAGCTCGGTCTCCAAATTCAGCCCTCCTTCCACGAGACCACTTCTTCCCCACAGCTGCCTGTACAGACCATGTGTCATCTACTCTCAAGATATATATAAATGCGTATTTGCTAAAAACGATTATGTATTGTTAAAAAAATAAAAATACGGATTTTTTCTAAATCAGAGTACACGATTCCATTTCTTTCTCACTGTCATTGTACTATTTCTTGTCTGGATGCATAACAAGTGGATTTCTGAGCCTGTTTTAATGGAGAGAGTCAATCACTGTTCAAAGCCTCCACTGGCCAGCAACTGCAGGCCTCCTCCTTGTGACCAGAGACACTCACCGGCCTAGCATTTTACACCACAGTGGGCAAGCCCCGCCAGGCAGCTTTGAAATCCCAGGGCTGTGGTCAGAGTAGGGCCTCCTGGGAGGACAAAGTGTTCTGTTTGTGTAGCACAAGGGTGTGGCTTTTGTAGCTAGTAAAATAATCTGAACACAAAGCCCTCTGGGTCCTGCAGAGCGCCGTGGACTGACTCAGCGGAAAGTGGTGGGAACGGAAGCTCGTTCTTAGATTTCAGAACCGTCCAAAGCTCCACCCGCCCCACTTAGTTCCGTCGGAGTTCAACAGGAAGGGGGTTTCATCAGCTAACGTGCGCGCGCTCACACACACACACACACACACACACACACACACACACACACACACACACAGAGCAATACCACCACCAATTCAGATTTCATATAAATTAACAGTGTATTAGAAACTGTTTTGTAATTCTAAACCCTCTGATCCCTGTATCTGGAGTAAAGAAGAAGGAAGTCTGAATGACGCAAAATCAGTCCATATTGATTAGATTCCCGTCTTACTTGCTCAACTCTCATCTTACTCAGATTATTCTGCCTAAAGACCACTTGGCCAACTTCACCCAAAGAAGATGTGGAAACTTTTTTGTGAAAAAGACCACAGAGAGTTTTATATTCTATCAATAAGATTAATGTTCTGTGGAACTTATATTCCATGAACACATACACTCAGAAAAAAATATCATTTGCTAGGATGAACAAGAAACACAATTAATTTACCTTTCCTTAAACCACCAGAGAGCCAATTAACTTAAGAACAAATACATTTTTTAAAACAATTCATGAGTTACATGTACTACTATATTTACCAAAAAAAAAAAAAGTGTAAAAATATGCATAGATAGTTAAGAGAAGCTTTATGGTGAGATTTTTGCCAAAAATCATTTCAAGGTAACCCAAAGACAACCTAATATGTTGACAGTGTCCTGTGAATTAAAATTTAATATATTCTTGAATGTTTTTATCAAAGTTTCTTAAATGGGTAAAATTTATATATTTGGTAAAATATATGACCTCCTTTCCTTTCATCAAGGTTACTAAATGGAATCTGTTTTTTAAATATTTTTTTCCCAAAGCTTTTCTTTCTGTAAATGGATTACATGACTCCTTTCTTATTCTAGAAGTTCTGAAGGGCACAGTGGGAGCACTGTCTATAATTGTATGACAACAGAATTCCACAAAACGTGAGGTACCTCACAAAATACCAGGCAAGTAGCGAAGGTTTCAGTTTAAAACACTTCTGTTAACATTTGTTTTTGGAAGGCGTGTTCATCCCCTGGAGGATCTAGAATATTCTAGGCAGTGTCCCAGGTTCTGGGGGTACAATGGGGAATAAGACAGACAGGGCTCCTCTGG